AGAAAACCAAAGTTACAATGGTCATGTTCTCGGCATGTTTTAACGGCGGAATGTCCGAAGCTTTTTCGGTTGGTGCTCTGGATGAGCTCTAGGGCACTCGTGGGGTCGTCGTCAGCCGTTGGACTTCTCGTTCATCTGCTTCACCATCTGTCCGACTCTCCTCCTTTTCCTGCTCCCTTGTCCGAGTGCCTTTGCCCCGCCACTTTGGACTTTGATTTCCATTTGCCGTCCTTGGCTGTGGGCATCCTATTGGGGTTCTTAGCTTGGCCTCTCCTTGAGGGACTGCTTCTGCTGCGCTCCGCCCTGCTGAGGGCCGCTTCTCGCCGTCTAGCGGGAGGCTTCCAATTGCACTACCGCCTCCTTTGATGAGCTTGGCTGAACGTGTGGCTGCCCTTGAAACTCAGGTCAGCCTTCTCCAGGCCTCCGTGCAGAGGCTCACCGCTGTCATCGAGTGCTCTGGCTCTGAATTCTTGATAGTGGGCTCCCCTAGGTCCCCTAGGCCCGAAACCCGCCGTTCAGGTTCTGCCCCAGAGTCCCCTGGGCCTGAGTCCCGCCCTTTAGGTTCAGCCCAGGGCTCTGCATCAGCAACACCCGCCAGGCCTTCGCAAAGGTCTCCCGAATCCCTTGGTTCCCTAGGGTTTAGTCCCACTCCCCGGCCTAGCGGTTCTAGGGAGGTTGCGCTCACACCGCGCAGTCGCGGCGCCGCCTGTCGTGAGGTCGGCCTTTTCTTGCGTAGGAAGCTTTTGAATTCAAGACCGTCCAAGCGTCTTGCGAAGCACTGCAGATCATTGTCATCTGTGTCCCTTCCGATCGACGAGGCGGCAAGCTCCATGGAGCTGCAGGAACCCGGTGCCAAGCAGTTGCCGATTTACCCCACTTTCGTTACGTCCGTGCTGATGCCGAAAGCTGCAGTGGAAGTGCAGCGGGATGGCGGCTTGCTGCCGGCTCTTGCTCGCTCCGATGTCGAGGACGTGACGGGCAGGTTGATGAGCAGCTGGTAGTTCATGTAAGTTCATGGTTCTTCTATTCGACTTTTTATTTGCGAGGGGGCAACGTGCATCGTGTATGGGTGGTGGTTGATGCACGGATCTGAGCCCCTCAGAGTGCCGAACCGCAATTGGTACGTCAAGCAGGCAGTAAAACGGGAGAGGAGGAGAGCAGAGAGGCACCTTGACAAACCTCGCGGCCAGGAGCTCATCTTGGATCACTGCTATAACGTCCCCGCCGCCCTGTGGCAGCAGCTCGGGCAGGTAGGAAGGCGAGCTTCTTTCGGCGCCTCGGAGAGCAGAGTGCTTTATTTGCGGCTCCCTTTTTGTTACATGCAGAATGTGGTGGGAATTACAAGGGCCTCGCTTTTCTCTCGCGAGGTGCTTCGACAGTCGATCCACGGGCGCGGAGGGCGCTGAAGGTCTCGTCGGAGCTTCGTCGGGTTTCCTGCGGATGCTCTGGAGGCACCGAAACCCCCAGCCCAACTCAGAGGTTAGCTCCCGGCTCCGAGTACCAGGGCGCGTAGAACCCGATTGCAACAGGGAAAGGGCTGAATCTGAAGAGTTCTGGCGCCCGGAGCTTCCGACCCCCCCGCGAGCCCAAACTCCGCTGCAGAACAGAGCGCCGGAGACCCGGCTCTCGGCCACAGGAGCTGAATTAATCAGGTTGAGTATGACAACTGGTCCCTATTTCAAGGCAAACGTGAAGAAGCCCTATATAGCCCTACCAAGAAACCAAAAAAACTCCTCAAACATGCTTCTCGAGCCCGACCCTAGACCTTAAACCCCAAACCCTAAACCCCCAAACCTTAATCCCCAATCCCAAACCCCAAACCCAAACCCAAACCCAAACCTACAGCTCCCCAAAAGAGCCCTTGTAGATCCCTTTAACGGAACCCTAACCCCTAAACCCTGAACCCCAAAACCCAATCCTCTAAACCCGTAAACCCTAAACCCCTAAACCTCTGAACCCTAAACCCCAATCCCCTAAACCCCTGAACTCGGAACCTTAAACTACCCAAAAAACACTAACCCCCTAACCCTAAGCCCGAAACCTTAAACTACCCTCAAAAAACCCTAAACCCCAAACCCTAAGCAGGAAACCCTGAACTACCCTTCAGTTCGCCTGAACGGTTTTCCGAGCCGGTCTGAACACAGGACCCGAGACACCTGAACTTGGACCTTTTCGCCAACGGACACAAAAGAGGGGTCTGACCGCTGCTCGCTGCTGTAGGTCCTGCCCACCCCTTCCAACTACTAAACCCGGTAGGAAACGGAAGCCAGTCCCGAACATGTCCGAATGAGTTAGGAGGGACTGTGAAAAATTCTGTGGAAGCTGCATAGGGCGGCGTTGACATTGCACACTCTCATACATGTTGGGATGCGCATGCAGCTTCTTGTCACGACTACCTGAGTTTGTGTTGCTTCCTACAGACAGGACCACATATGTTTGGACTTTGAATAGATTGGAGTTTTGATTGGCCACTTACTGTGGAGGTTGTGTTTGCCCGTCATCACGCCAAAGAAATAAGACGGAACTTCACCGAAGGTGTATGAAGTTTTATTTCAAACATGTGATGAGATTTTTGTTTTCATGTGGGAACAAAAATCTGGGCTTTGGGTTTATCCATGTGGCGAACCTTTTCATGTGGCGATTCTTTTGCATGGTGAGAACTCTTCAACTCTGTCATATCTGAAGCTGGTGGCTCGTGTGAGCTGAGATAGAAAATTTATCTTTTCCCGCCTGCCCGCTCCCATTGTGACGTGTGTCACTGTACCATCGTGTGATGGTTTATCAGCTTCGCTGTGTCGATGTTGTAGAGTGTTGCTGTTGTAAAATTGCCACACCCCGAGGGCTTGACGAGGCTCGCGGCATGTGCATGGCTGACCTTTCGTCGAGCCCACGTGGTTTCAAAACATCAGTCCGTGAGTGATGCCGTTATCATGTATATTATTGGATTATTTGAAGTTGCCAATACTTTGATGGTCCACATATGCTTGGACTTTGAATAGATTGGAGTTTTGTTTGGCCACTTACCGCGGAGGTTGTGTTTGCGCGTCATCACACCAAAGAAATAAGAAGGAAATTCTTCCCACCCACCCGCCCGGGTAAATACGGGTGCGATGACACCTTGTGTCGCTGCTGGTGACCATGAGTGTATGCATTATGTGATCTGAGCGCTGCTCCAAACCCGATTCAACCCCGTGCCCTCTTCGGAGGAAAAAGAAGTGAGCGTCTCCAGAAGCGTTATGTGCGGAATGAAGTTTCATACCATATGATTCATCAAGCTTTTGATTATCCTTTGATGGTATTTACAATTCGGGGATACATTCATTGCAACATATTTTGCGGTGCACTTTCCTTCGCAATTGGAATAATTGCATCATAACATGTTTTGACTGTGAATACTTCACGGAGTGTTTGAGTTGCTGCAATTGTGGAAGCATGTGGACGTATCTCGAGGGAGATATTCTGGCGGCGCCTTGTATTCGAGTCTATTTCAAATTCCAGTCCGTCGCAGTTCGCGGAACGCTCAGCATCGATGGCCACTGTGATCGACGAGACGCAGAGCTCTTCGAGCAAATTTACCTCGTTTAACTTTTAACTTCGAGGGTCCGGTGCCTCAACGAATCGATTCTCATCCCCGACCATTCACCATCCAAGAAGTCGATCTGTTTTGACACCTTGCACGCTTTGACCCCAAACTCCCTCGAACCTAAAGCCACAACCTCGTTCATTTTCGTCGCTAGCTCATCACAGCTCATCTTTGTTTCACCACTTCCCTATCTGACTTCCAGCACGTGGCTGTTGAAAAGCGATCCGGTTCGAGGTGGCGAGAGATCGGTCTGGGTGTGGATCCCATTGTCATGCACCTGTTGCCAGATGTGAGCTTCTGAAACATTGCTGGGATGCGCAGGCCAGTCCTGGCTTCAGCTCTTAATGTGGTCTGCTATTTTGTTTGCGTGCTTCCCATCCCACCCCTACCCCTCCCTCATCTCCACTCCCAACCATCATCCCCCCACCTCTTCCGGTTGACTTCCCTCCCCAAGTTCCCTAAACTTTGAACCTTCGTCACACCAGGGCCAAAGAGCCCTCACTTCGGTCGAAGCCGAGCAGCCGCCTTCCCTGGGCCTGCCCAACGGAGATGAGGGCGGATTCCCTTTGGAATGCAAGAAGCGTGGCCCGGTGCAAGCCGTAGAAGGCGAGGCACACGGGGTTTGGGTTTCCTTGCCGTCTGCATAGGCCACCATTCCCCCCCTTTACCCTTCCCCCCAGCCTGCCCAGGCTCGAGGACCGGGCTCATGGAGTCGCCGGGTTGGTGCGTCGCGCTGGCTGCAAGAAGAGAACCGTTGTTTTCTAGAGGGCTGCGGGAAATAGAGAGCCTCACGCCCTGTTAGAGCAAAACGATGTCACCAGAAGCCGCCCCACTACATGAGCCTCCTTTGTTCAGGTCCTGGCACTCTGCCTTTGGCGGGCCTCGGCATTGCGCCCCTTGGAGCCTCTGCTGGAGGCGGGCCAAACACCACCCTGTCGAGGCTGTTTAGGGCTCAAGGGTCATGGGGTATTCGAGCTTAGAGTTTTCAGGGCCATAGGATGTTGGATTGGGGGTGCGAGTGCGAGGCATTTGGGTTCAGAGATTTAGGGCTTGGGTGTGACGGTTATGAAGCATTCCGGTTTAGAGTTTTAGGGCTTATTTTAGGTTTAATGGTTATGAGATACTCAGGTTTCAAGGTTCAAGCGTTTGGAGGTTTTTGGGTTTAGGGGTCATGAGGCGTTAGGGCTTTCAGGTCTTAAGAGTCTTGAGGCTTTACAGTATCGAGGTTTTGGAGCTTTAAAGGATCAAGGGTTTAAGGTTTAGCCTTCGGAAACCCGACGTTTTTTGCCCAGGACGACGGCACGCATGACGACGCGATGTGGGGCGACAAGCTTCTCGGCTGCCCCACGCATCACAAAGCTACCCCGCCGCCTGGAGCCGTGGGTGCCATAGAGCGGGTCTGAAGCCTTCAATGGCCAAGCCTTAAATAATTAGTTTAAAGTCCAAACCCTAAACCTTGAACCCTGAGCCCTAAATCACGGCAAACCCTACGCTCCAAAGCATGAGTAACCCTACACCCTGAGCTCTATACATGCCCAACACATTTAAAACACCGTCTTCCGAAGCCTGAAGCGCAATCAGCGGGCCAGGCCAACAACCGAGGTTTAGTTCGGTTTAGGGTTCAAGGATTTAGGGGCTAAGGGTTTGGGGGTTTTAAGGGTTTAAGGATTTAAGGGTTTAAGGGTTTATAGGGTTCACGGGTTTATAGGGTCTAGGGTACTCCAAAGACCCACCAAAGTAACGTCGAGGTTCGGCTCGAACTGTGAGCTGCTGAGGCTTCCTGGCTGCAAGCCCCCAAACGCGCCACACGGGGTCCTCCAAGGGTCTGGGGACCGACGTTCGAGGGTAGAGGGGTTGGGGTTTTGGGTTCAAGGTAAAGGGTTCAATTAGGGTTCAGGCTCACTAGGCTCAGACAAACTTGAAGGAAACTACAGGTGGGAGGTTTAGGGTTTACAGGGCTTCTATAAGGTATATAGACCTTCTATAAGGCTCCTATAGCGGTAACTACCACACCTGAAAACGCTTGAATCACGAGCAACGGGGCCTTCTTGCCAGGCATCCCAACTCGGGCAGAAACCTAGCACCAGCTTCAAAGGTGAACCTGCCGAGGTGTCCGCTCGAGCCACACACAGTCCTGAAAATCATCCCCAACCCCCTCCTCCCTACAGGAAGAAGAGAAACGAAACATAAACAACAACATACAACAACATAAGAACAATTAAACAACGAAACAAAGCAGATCCGAAACAGCAAAACCCTCAGGAAGCTAGATCTGGCCTGGTTCCTGCTCGTCGCGGCCCTTGCCTTGGCTGTGTTGTGCTTTCAACCGGCCTGCTTTGTCGGCGCTGAGCCTGCCGAGTGCCCCCGCCGCCCGGCCGGCTCCTGAACATAGCTGCCAAAAAGGGGCTTGGGCGTTTTGGTAGGTTTTGGGGCTTGAGCATTTGGGTCGGAAGTTTGTCTGCGCTTCCCAGGATCCGGAGAGGCGATGCCTCCTTGGTACAACAGGTTCTTCGCGTCGCTGAGCAGCCACGCAACGGGTATCGTGAGTTTCGTGGGTTTCCAGAAGATTGTGGTGGCGAGGACTTGTGGGCTTCTACAAGGAACCAAGGAAGAAGTGCAGCCTAAACCCTGAACCCTAAACCCCGTGATTAGCTCAGGCTTGTGGGGGTAGCTTCCGATTTTCGTGCGAGGATAGTGGCCACCAGCCAGCCGGACATGCCTTGGTCGCTACCAAATCTTCTGCTCTACACCAGCATTCTTCTCTCGATCACCGCCGTGTTCACAAGCATTGTGCGGCGCAGAAGCATTGGGAGCAGGTTTGGGGTGAAGGGTGGGGTTTTCAAGGGGTTTGGTGGGGGTGGGGAATGGGGTGGGGGGGGGGTGGTGGGGGTGATAGGTTCCGGGTGGCATTGCGGATTCCCACACTCGCAAACAGCCAGTTGGGAATTAGTGATAAGAATTGCATGCCTGGACTGATTGGCAGCCCCTCGCTGTGTCTGGAACATCCTTGAGTCTATCCAGATTTCACCGCACTGTCCCACTGCCCATGTTCTATTTCTAGACTTTACGTTTATTCATTTATACCCCTAACCCCTAACTCTATACCCTACACCCTATGGCTTAAACCTCACACCCGGGAAGGTTTTCGGGTGTTAAACCCTAAACCCTAAACCTGGGAAGGTTTTTGGGTGTGGATTACCTCCGCCGCCTGGCCATCGACAGCTCCCACACCGAGCAGCTGCGGCTCGAGCTGGAGACGGGGAAGCTCGAGCGCACAGGCTTTGGCTCACAGAGCCAGGGAGAACCAGCTGTGGGTTAAGGGTGCTGGGCTTTGAAGGATTGTTATGGGTTGGGGGTGGTGGGCTTTTGAAGGATTGTTATGGCTTGAGGGTTTAGGGTTTAGGGTTTAGGGTTTAGCGATTGTAGTGGCTTGAAGGTTTGGGGCTTCGGGCTAGGATCTCTGTTTTGGAGTGCGTTAGCTCGATTTGGGGCTACGTCTCCCTTCCTCTTTTTGCCCTGCCACCTCCGCCCATGACCGGAGAGGTCTCGGTGCAGCTCTCATCCTCCTGGCCGTGGTGATGCTTCTACTTTACCTCGTCGTCATCTTCACCGAGGCGAGTCGTAAGTTACGTAGTAACCGCCTGAAGCTGTAGGGCCACGGGGATAAACAAATGGAAAAAAGTGTTAAGGGTGGTTAAAATGTTGTGGCTAGCTGCATACCTACACCCTGATGCTTTTTGCCTTCTGGGAGTTCTGCCTCAGGACGTCGGAGCTGATACCATGCTTCTTTTCGAGAGGGCTCCGTCCTTACAGGGATGCTGCCGCGTCGGCTTTTTGCCCTAAGAGCCTTGGCGCCCGGCAGCCCGTCCCCACAGCCCGACATCCGTTTGAAAGTCACTGAGGTCGGCACCTGCGCCACGGTCGTCTTGTATCTGGTTAACCTTCGCGGCTTGTGCGCATCCCCCAAGGCCAGGGCTTTTTGTGCAGACTTGGCGCATCATCGCCCCGAATGGGTTTCCTGTCCCGGACTGTCCATCGAAGCTGCACAAGTCGTAGGGTTCTTGGCGGTTCTATAGGGTTTCAGTTCAGGGGTTGCGCCACATGAAGTGCTACCCTTGTCTCGCAGTTCTTTCGACCTTCTAAACGATCCCCTGACGGTTGCAGGTGCAGTTCCATCTTTCGTACGGCAAAATCCAGGAGGACATCAGCCTGAAGGAGTGATCGGGGCTCAGGCTGAGCGAAGGAACTCGTCTCAGCCGTCGGAGTTCTTTGCTTAGTCGCCTTGAAGGGGAACATGGGCTCAAAGGCATTGCCGCCCTACATGACCCCACAAAGTCTCACAGTTCAGCCCCAAAACCCTCAACTTCACTCAACTTCGACAGCTGGACACGTACATGCTTAAAGTGGAGGCGAGTGCCAAGGGCGGCCTCATTGCCTGCTGGATTGTTGTGTGAAAGCTGACTTTGGGATTCCAGGTTTTAAGGTTTGGGGAACAGGATGCTTTTCGGTTCGTAGTTCTCTCACGGTGAGTTATCGACTTTCTTTACTGTTTTGTCATTGGTGGAGTTGCATAGGGCCGCCCAAAAAAAGCTTTTCGGTTGCTGAGGGTTTAGAGTGTTAGAGTTCATGGGGCGTAGGGCAGCTTGGGATGCCGTGAGGATGGTGATTGAGGCTTTCGGTAAAAATGGGAGGGCTGAGGCCTGAACAACTCATGTGTTCGTCAAGCATGGACGAACACAAAGTCGTTCCACATTAGCTATTCGAACATTCGCCGATGCGATTGCAAGCAGCCCAGTTGAGTTTAGAGTGTTTAAAGTTTCGGGACCCCATTCACCGGGCAACGTCTTGTGCTTCAGCCAGAGCTGCCAGCTTGGGTTTGGGATCCTTTCCGTGTTAGGCCTGGTGATTCCGTTGGTCCCACAAGAAGCCCGATCTGGAGGAGTTTCTTCAGCAGCGCACCGGCGGCTCCCACGAAGGCCACGGCGACGGGCTCCGCGACTGCATCGCTTGCTTTTGCGGGGCCCTGGCCGGAAAGGACCCAGCGTTCTTGGAGGGGTTTGGTCGGTTCTTGGAGGTGCCATAACTTAGACTGGGTGGGTTGCGAGTCTGTGGAGGTTTTGGGTGTTGTGCATGTTGTGTATGTTGAGGTGCCCAGGCTCGGACTTCAGAAACAGTCAGCTGGAGAGCTGGGGGACCTGAGCTGAAGGACCTCGCGCTCTTCATCCGGATGGGCAGCCGCCGCGCCTTCTTCCCTGGTCGGAGCTTCGCTCCGGTAGCCCATGTCGTGGCTAGCCCTCACTATGTGGAGGGTTTGTTTTGGGTTTATGGGCAGCTTTCCCTGCTCAGGTACAGTGTAAAAGAAGCAGGGAACAGTTGGAGTTGGGTTGATTCTTGCGATATCTTGCGATCCTGTCCCAGGTTTGCGTCTTGCTTTTCTTCGGCGCCGTGCCCGGCATCTTCCAGGTGGCGACAGAGCAGCTCTTTAAAGCCCCGGAAGTCGTTGATGTGAGCCCTGGTGCAACAGGAAAGTGTGCGAATGTTCGGTATTTTTTTTTGTGGTTGGATTTTCCGCGCGTTGCAGGGCCCAGGGTCTCATTCCTCCTGACTTTGTGTACTCTGTTGTCCTGAGATGAGCGGCTGGCGGCGTGCAGCTGAGAGTGGAGTTCAATGAGGGAAGTGCGTTTCGGATCGCCCCTGCCCCACCCACCGGTGCTGTGGTGCCGAGGCAAGCGCACTCGGCTGTTTTGCTTCCTGGCTTTCAACCGGGCGCGGAGCAGAGCGAGTACCTCCTGCTCATGGCAGAAGGGGCCCCAGGCCTCCAGGTGAAGCCCAAGTACGAACAGACATCGAGCCAGGGCTGGAATATCCGAAATCATCATGAATCATTCTGCTTGACTGGCTTCTAGGTTTCGGATTCTGTTGTCCTCTAGTATCTACTGCGAGAGGGCAGATGAAGAAACTAGTTGCTGTGCTGTTTCTCACATGTTACTGGTAAGACCATGGCGGCGTAGGGGGTTTGTAATGTGCGAGGTTTCTTGTCTATACCGCATCATGCCGAGGAGAGTCAGCTTATGCTGCGAGAACGTCGGGAACTGCACTCACCAGCCTTTTGAGCACTCGCTCATTCGATTTGATGAGCGACCAGCTGCTCTCAAAGTTCCCACCACAAACTCAACGAACTGCAATCTGACCATCCGAGGCAGGGCTGGCTGCGTTGCCATAACTCTTAAGTGTTTCATGGATGATTAAGATGCCAACGCTGTGTCCATGGCCTCGAGGTCTTAGCCGCCATGCCGTAACAGAGATTCACCTGCGAGCAGTTCTGGCATCGGAATACCACCTTTGTGGCTGTACTCAAACTGCTTGCCGTTGTTGCGACAGCTACAACGGAACATGGGATGACTTGGCCACCGACAGGCTGAACTTCAGTGGCATGTGCATTCCAGCAGAATGCAGCGTCAAAAACTCCAACAGAAGGCCTGGTCCAGAATGCAAGTGCAAGGACCGCTTTCAAGGCAGCATCTCCTGGAAAGGTGCGGTGCCCAGCGGCCATTGCACTCCTGCTCCCTGTGAAATTGAGAATTCAAACAACAAGGCGGGAGAGCACTGTGCATGTGGAGATGGATATGCTGGCGCTGTCTCTTGGAATGGTGACGACTTCACTGGAAATTGCACGCCGGCAAATTGTAGCATCCCAAATTCGTCAGGAGGTCGAGGCTGGAATTGTCGCTGCGGTAACGAATACCACGGAAACATTTCCTGGGTGGGTCAGACGCCCAGCGGCACCTGCACACCTGCCCCATGTCACGCCGTGAACTCGAACATGCAACCCGGAACAGCATGCAGATGCACGGACGGCTACAGCGGTACTGTTAAATGGACGAACGGGGTCGCAGAAGCTGCTTGTGATCCAGCACCGTGCGACGTTGAAAACTCCAACAAACAGCCTGGGAAAGATTGCGCCTGTTTGGACGGTTACGAAGGTAACATTTCCTGGCATGGCCCAGATGCAAAAGGATCGTGCCGGCCCGCACAGTGTGCCGTTGCAAACACTACGGGGCAAGGTCTCGCATGCCGTTGCAGAGACAGCTTCGAAGGCGAAATCACTTGGAAGGGTGCTGTCGCGCATGGGCGCTGCCGGCCGGCAGACTGCAACGTAAAAGACTCGAACAATCTTCCAGGACATGCTTGCACATGCCTCGAGGGTTTTGATGGCGAGATTGAGTGGGATCGCTCAGAAGCAAAGGGCCGGTGTTATATTATGTTTTGCTGGGGCAACCATTCCAACAACTTGCACGGCCCGGAATGTGGCTGCAAGGATGGTTTCGCAGGAAAGAGAGGTTGGACAAAGAATACGTGGAGCATAGACTTCGAGGTCGATTGTCGCCCCGCCGAGTGCAGCATTCCGAATTCGAATGGCAAGCCGGGTGAGGACTGCCGCTGCCTGGATGGCTATGAAGGTTCCATTACATGGAAGGGTCAAGTTCCACAGGGGAGCTGTGAGCCAGCGCCTTGCCAGGTCCCATACTCCAACATGGAGGCTGGGCCAGCTTGTGCATGCCTTGACGGGTTCCGGGGCAATATTTCTTGGAAAGGCCTTTCGGCAACGGGGAAGTGCATGCCTGTGCCTTGCCGCATACAGAACTCTGATCTTGCAGCAGGTCCCGCATGCAGATGCCTGAAAGGATTCTACGGCAATATCACGTGGAACGGCACAGCGGCAAGCGGGGCCTGCCTGCCTATGCCCTTGTGCCCTGATGCTGGGGAGATTGAGGTTTATCATGCGACATCATTAAAAGCACCTTATGTTGACATGGAGGGCAGCTGCGAGGCTGGCCAGCCCATGCTGATCTATGGTGATGTGTGTGACGAGGAGGAAGGCTACATCCAGTGGAGAGCAGCAGTAGCCAAGACTCCAGGTAAGTGCAGCTGGAGTTTGAATTCTGATGAGTGTGGGGAGCCCACGGCTTCGGAGTACTTCGACCTGCCGATCACCTGCTCGGCAGAACCAGGACTGCCACGATGCGACTCAGAAATCGAGTATTCGGTGACGAGCCACGACAAGGACCTAGACCACAGCTGTGCCCGGAACGGCAGTCAAAGCTTTAGCTTCACGAAGTATCAAGGCCGACAGTGTGGATTTGATCTTATCCAGTGGGAGTCTGTGACAGTGCCGCCTCCAGGTCACGAAGCGTTTGCATCGCCGTCATCTGCACCATGTTCGTACAAGCTGTCTACCGATTGCGGCGTGACCTTCGCCAAACAGCTTCCCAGAGCTTGCGCCCACGTTTCCGAGCCGGCACTATTCGAGCTAGTCATTTACGATGTCAAGTCTCTGTACAAGCTCTTTGACTCTGGCGAGTTCACAAAAACAGATAGCCGCAACCTTAGAAGCTTTAGCAGACTCGAGTCGGTCGTGCTGCGAGAGGGTTACGATATTGCTTGATATTTTGACATGAATAGCTGGGTGTGTAGTAAAGGTCAGAGTCTGAAAAGGTGAACTAGCAAGCTCTACAATCTTCAAGCGAGGAGGCTGCCATGTAGCAGCATCAGGCAAGAGAGGTCACAGCGCATCATGAGATGTTCGGTTTTGGGCTTATGCGAGGTGACAGCCTCATTGCAGCGGACCGGGAAATCAGATCGACCTGGCATTCTGACGGAAGATACCTGTCCCTGCAAACGAAAGGACAAGGGCAGGTGGGGTTTCGTTGTCAAGATGACGGATCTGCATTTGTGTCGGCTGATGCCGGACGTGGATTTCGATATCGATTGACTGCTCCATGGCCTCTCCCGTCCTGGTGGACATTCAAGTTCCAGCAGCAAGGCTTTCTGCCGGGCACCTTCAACACAGATCGGCTTGTCGGTTGCAAGGTTGCCTTTCGTGAGAACAAAACATGCTACATTGGCATGCTCGGGCAGGACTTGTGGGTTACCAGCACGCAGTATGACTGCATGGCTGACAGGTATTCGCTACAGATATTCAAGAGAAATCAGACTGCCAAGAGGTACGTCTACATTTCCTCCGCCTACGGGGTGCAGACCTACCGCTCGCATGACTGGTGTGCACCAACTGCTGCGTTCCAGGAGCTCCAGTTGGAGGTCGTGGATGTCCATGTTCCTCGGGAGGAGTATAGCCACACTATCCTTGCTACTCCTTGTCGGACCACGATACGATACTTGCTGAATGCCACTGCGCAGGAGGCTCAGTGCCGAAACGTGTACAAAGACATTTATGACCAAATTGAACGCAGCGCAACAGGAGCAGGTCCAGAAGGTGAACATGCAGACAACCTGGAAGAAGAGGAATAACTGAACGCATTTTGCGAGTCGTCCGCTCAGACATGGAAAAAGCAACGTGGTTTCAGCTCCAGCCTTGTTGCGGCAGATGCACCTTGCTCTTGAGGTTTGGCCACGGGCCTTGTGGTTTGCCATCATACATTGTCCCAAGCTTTAAACAGGGGGTGATTTGCTTTGGTCTCTGGGTTTGAAGTTCGAGCCCTGTGATTATTTCTGCCTCCACGGACTTTTCGGCTTGCGGACCCCAACTACCCAGCATCACTGCGTGCAACAAACAAGAGCAAGCTGGGGTGCGTGCCTTGATGGGCTGGCCCTTCGAATGTTGTGATGCAACTCGACTCGGCTGGTGCTGACCCGAGCAAGGCGGGTGAAGTGGCAGACTGTATCCAGCAGCTTGCAGTCTATGCAGCCTGGCATGCTGCAAACCTGCGATCCTTCCTGTGGCAACTTGGAATGTCTGATTGACGTTCCAAACACAAGTGCCCAAAGATAAGACTGACATCTCGAAGCTGACATCCATAAACTCTAAACATCCCAAAACCCTAGACGCAACTTCCAGGACATGTACTGATGTACTGCATCCCTAAACTCTCTTCATCTCTAAACCCTAAGCCCAACTGCTAAGCCATGTACTGATGTACCAAGCCTTGAGGTCCTCGGCAGATCGTGACAAGCAGAAGGCGGAGGCTCTGGCGCAGGAGCTGGAAGGGCTGATGCCTGCAGCCGAGGCGCAAACCATCAAGGCCAATAGGGCTCTAGAAGGGCTACCAGGGGTTCTATCTTTCGAGTTTCCTTTCTAAGGACTTTTCGGGCGTGATTGATGTGTTTGGGTGCAGGGTTTGGGGAGGGTTCAACGGGACAGCAGTCCAACTGGCTTCTCATCTCGTTGAAAACGAAGGCCTTGGCTTTTCGCGCAGCCTGGTTTACTGCCAACCAGCGCCGCTTCAACTTTGCCGATGCTGCTGAAGACCAAAGGGCTGTAGAGTTCTATGCCGACCTTCTGGCGAGTCTCACCAACCCCGAGCTCGCGAAGAACATCAAGCCCCTTGTCAGCGTAAAGCTGGGGAGGACAAAAACTAGAGATGGCCTTGGGGAACGAGAGGAGAAGAAACACTACTGTAAGCATTGTAACAGAAGGAAGGTAAGCCAAAACAGTTTGTCAACCCCGAATCACTTTGTGCAGAAGCCGGAATCCGCGTAGGCTTGCTTCTTCCCTTGAGAGGCGTGCGTGCAGGATCAAAATCTGCGAAAGGAGTGTTTGAGATGTTCCGGTGAGTTTGGATGCGAGGCAGTTGCAGAGTTCGCTTCAGCACTGGGGGTGGATACGATACCCCTTCCCACTGGGGCGAGCCGGTGGAATCTGTGAGTGCCGAAAACACGCTGTGCATGATCTGTCCATCGTGCCTTCATGCCAAGAAAAGTTAGAATCTGCAAGGCTTGGAAATGAAAGTCAGCCACCTCAGAGCAGTTTTGGAGAGCGTTCTCCTTGGCGTCCGTTTTCATCGATCCCCTCTCACCTCACTGACCTTATAGACCTTCGTAGTGGTTGCTTGTGCTGTGCGTCCTGAGGTCTCTGTCGTTGAATGCCTCCTGGCACGCAGCCAACAGCAGATCCATGCTCTGGAGAGATGCCCGCGAGGTCCTGAAAGCTTTCTGCAAATTTCCTCCTCATGATAAGAATTGCCTACATTATTTTTTTGGGGAGGTCCTTATTATAGCTATATTAAGAAGGACCCCAAAACCTTATTCTAATTACTTAGGATTACTCCAGGGGATGTTTTGAGGGAGAAGTCAGGGATCTTCATACTTCGTGTTGCAGGATGCCTGCCGCTTCGAGCGCGACTGCTCGCATCTGGCCTAGAATGTTTGGGCATCGGCGATGGGCTTAGGGCTTTATGGTCTTACGAGTTTAAGGTGCAGGGACATGTTTCTTACCAGAAGAAATCCTTGATCTGAAAGCAGAAGACGAAGCATCTGCAAGTCTCAGGAAGCTGGCGACGCTGCTCCGGCCCCAATCAGGGAGGCAACAGCCGGAGAACGACGGGGAGGAGAGTGAAGGATTCCGAACCCCTCGAGAAACGGAGGAGGCGACACCAACGGCGCTGCGGCGATGCAACTCCGTGTTGGACGAGATCGTCGTAGCCTGGCAAGCCGTCAAAGTCTCCGATGGTTCCACGGAGGCCTCCAGCTTCCTCTCTGCGGCCTCCGTTACGGTCATGGTCTTCGATGTCTTTGGGAAGCTGCTCCAGGGCTTCCAGGCAGACATGCGCAAGAACATCGAGATGATCCAGCAGCACGTCAGGGGCGAGATCTCCCTGGAGCCGGGATGTGAGGGGCGGGGGGAAAGGCTGCAGGTTGCCTCACAAGTTGGTAAAAGGGATCCAAAGAAGCTGATAGGAAGCATGGCAAGGACCAGTAAAACCCCTGCACCTTTCTGCAAACCTTCCTTTAAAGGCCTTCCGGCCGTTTGAAAGGAGAAGCTCATCGACGACGAAGCCAAGGCCGCGGGCTCTCATGTGAAGGCCCTTCGCGAAGGCAGCGCCTCCATGGGCTTGCTCTGGCTGCCAGGAAGCACCAGCGGAATGTTCAGAGTCATAGTAGCACATATATTGTTGTGATGCGGTGGTATACATATATACATATATATATATATATATATATACTCATATATATATATATATAATATACGCATGTCTATATATATATATATACACATGCATGTATGTATATATGTATATATATATATATATATGCACATAAGACACACACATACATACATACATACATATATATATATATATACACATGCATATATATATATATATGAAGAAAAGGTGTATATGTATATGTACATATATATATATGTATACACGCATACATGTATAGTATAAATAAGATCAAATGCTGTATTATATATACATCTGGTTATGCATACACACACAAATACTCCTGCGGACATGTTAATGTTCATGTTCATATATTACATTTGTATTGTCCCTGTCGACGAGGTTCAACATCTAGGTTGAGATAGTGGAGATGACGAAGACCGACCAACACATGATTTACAGCACTCTATTTTCCGTGCCCGCCAAGCGAAACGCACAACACAAGTTGACACAGTAACTACAAGTGACTGCGTGGCGATAGCAGAGCAACGATCGGAGAAGGGAGTCAGCAGGGGGCGAGGGTAGGAAGATTGTGCGAATATGCTGACTTCTATATTTCCTTGCGAAGCCTTTCGAAAGTAAAAACAGCAAAAAGATCAAACACCAGAGTTTCCCTTCGTGTTTCCAGATGAAGTGTTTCAGCTCTCTGGGACACGTGTGAAGTCTTGTCTTCATGCTCAGCCCTAAACCCTAAACCCTAAACTGCCGAATAGGCTTCACCCGATCCGTTCATGGATCTGTCTCAGTCTTGAGGTATAATACGCAGCCCTAGCAAGCACATGTCCGATAGGCTTCAGGTCTTGGAGCGAACACCGACATGTGACGTCTACAGTCGGAGGAGTCGCCAGCAAGTCCCTCACGTTCCAACGCCGAACCCCAGCCCCGAAACATCCCGAAACTCCCCCTTCTAGAACCGCAAGAATCCTTTCCCCTCAGACTCAAACGCCGAACCTAAAACCTTACACTCTTCATAATGGCTGCCACCAGAGAACTTCACGGAGAGTGCTAAAGTAAACCCCTAAACTCTAAACCCAAACCCCTAACCCCTAAACCCTAAACCCTAAACCCTAAACTCAGCGAAGCCGAGGCTTTCCCGGAGCCTTCGCCTCCTCCAGACCATGTTGGCCAAGCTGGACGCGGGGCAGCTCGTCTCCGTCTCCGAAGTTCCCGAGCATGAAGCTCCTTACTGCTACTACTACCACTACTACTACTACTACTACTACTACTACTACTACTACTACTACTGCCTTTTTTGGCCCATGACTTGTGGTGATGTTGTACCGTTTGTGTGGATTTTGATTGCTGGTCTTGCGATTGCCGCCGCTGCTCTTTCTGCTACGGCTGCAGCTGCTGCTATCGGTACTGTCCGTGCTATCACCGCTATTTGTACTATCATTACTAGTACCACCGTCCACTCTCACCACTCTCACCACTATCACCACTATCACTACTATCACCACTATCACCACTATAGCAGCAGTAGCAGTTGCGCTCTCTGCTTAAGCTCAGAGCGGCAAAACTAAAACCCTAAACCCCAAACCCTAAACCCTAAAACGACGATGGTGTGCAGCTGTTTTGCTCTTTCGCTGTGGCGTGCCGACCCCTGTCTTTCAAGGTGCCAGTTTTTCGCCTTCGGCCTAAGCTGTGGTCGTTAATCGGTGAGATCCTTACGACATGTTCATAGGACGCCCAGGGAGCGCCCAACTAATGTACAACGAAGGTGCCTGTACACCAGGCTGCTAATTATTACACATTTATGGTAATGCACGATGACCCACCTTCGTCGTACATTATTCTGGGGGTTATGTTGTTTCATGGCATGTGCATGCTTGGTGCGTGCAAAGTGGTCATCAGGTTGCGGCTGACTTGCTTAAGGAAAGTTTCATCCCAACAACATAAAATCGAGAGGAGTGCAGGCTGACTTTGCTGTCGCAAGTTGGCCAGTGACCTTCAATGTAAGTCTGGAACATCCACTCAAACTTTGATTTCCTCTGCCTCGAAAGGGAGCCCGCGAGGGAAGCAAACCTTCAGGATCCGAGGTGATGGGTTGAGGGTTTCGGAGTCTGCTCCAGAAGGCACAATTCGGCCGGCCCGGCCCCGGGGTACCAGCGGTTGTGGGGCTGTAATGACTACTAACGAGCCCAGGCGGTCAACTAGCAAAGACTCACGAACCCTGCCTCTCTCGCTGCTTCTTGGATCGGGAACAAGAATCAACACAACCCCGAAATCTGTCAGCCGAATGCCCTAGCTGGAATGCAGACGGTATGCAGAACAACATGAGGACTACACACCCAACATTCGCTCGCTTCTTTCCCCGAGCCGCATCGGCTGATCTGCACACACTCCCGTGAGCCGCGTGGGACGCCTGCAAAGACCAGGGGCAGGGAAGAGGGGCGAGCACCTTTAGCGGTTTAGGAGACCGGAGCCTTTTTGTGACTGTTCTGAGCCGTGGCTTCAGCAGCAGAAGCTCCTGCTTTCCCAGCCGTGTGCCCGCTCGCTACACGTTGTTTTTGTGTATGTT